TCAGAAGGAGCAGACAGGAAAGGGAAGGAAAAGGGACAAAAGAACCAAAAAGAATTCAGATGTATTATGTACATGTACCAACTCCCCAAAACAAATGTAATCATTAAATACTACAAACATACACTAATAAAAATATTTTAAGAGAACTGTTCTTTTCTAATAGTAACAGACTTGAGTAGAAGTTGAGAATGAAACCAAAGTCAACCCCTTGCATACATTCCAGGACAGGATAGAGCTTTCGACAGGCAAATGCTCAGCTTACTACTGGTTTAAAACTATGTCATGTTGTAAGGCAGGAAAAGGCACTGAAAAGAGCAACATCGGAGTCAGAATCATGCAGACTACCAGGCAAGAAGATTAGCTATGGATTCAAGAGATATTAAATCCCAACATGGAGACACTGGTCATTGGTCTTCATAACAAGAGCCTCTGTAAGCATCAAGTCTCTTAATCTGTACATGAGGTGAATAATATGCTTAGTTCAAAGATTTAATTATTAAAAAAATCATTTAGCACTGTCTCGTGTCACCAACAACTGCTATCTAATATGTCTGGTCCTAATTTATTTTCTTCATAAATTAGAGGCATCAGGCTTTTAGTGGGATATTTTAAAGACTAAATGAGATGTTTATAAAGTACCTATCAATGCCTTGTGCAAATGACATACCTGATACATGTGTATGGAATTAATCAGCATAAAACCAAAGTTTCTTTAGAAAGACACAAAATGAGAGGACTACAGAAAATACTACATTCTTCTGTTTTTAGGATCAATAAACATATGATGACAACTGAAGAGCCTGAAATTACTGATGTAAATAAAAGTATTTGGTCTTGATTTGGAGGGCACCGTCTTACCTGTATCTAGACCTTGTCGAAGCTCCTTGATTTTATTAGTCGAGCCAGACTTGCGATAAATACCTTCTGTATAAAGTCCATGCATTTCAATGTAGTTTATGAGCTTTTCTACTACTAAAGGAACAGTTCGGTCCTCATTGGTCAAACGGGAGAGTTCAACCCCAAATTGTCGAGGTGACAGTTCTGGATCATACTAAATGGAAGATAATTTTTCTTTTCAAATGCATTGAACATCTTCAAACACGTTTAGTCAGTTCTTTAAGGAAGCTACTTTTGATTTCCCTGAAGTTTTTTTGAGAACAGTTGTATTAGGAAAAAGGGAACTATAGTTAAATAAGTTATAATACTAATATCAATTCTTGCCTATTAGGAACTCCCCAAAGAAAACAAACAGAAACTGGGCATGGTGGCACACATCTGTAATCCCAGTACTCACAAAGTCTGAGGCAGGGGCATCACTGCAAGTATGAGGCCAGCCTGGACTACATAGTGAGTGCAGGGTGAGCCTGACCTACAGGGCAAGACCATCTCAAAAAACTAAACCAAACCAAAACAAAAAAACCAACCCCTGAAAAAAAAGAAAGAAAACAAGTAGCGAACAGAGGCAGTAGTAATGGGCTGCTACTTTCTAGCTGTCTAATATCTCTCCATAAAAAGCGAGTATTGGTTTTGAAGGAGGTTGTGTTTCATATGCAAACATCTTGAACATTTAGCAGGTACTATTAGAAAATCCACTGGTTTCATATGAATCAGAGAGGTCAGTAATTTCTGAAGCATAAAAATGCTTTTATATTTCAAAGATAAGCTTTACGGAAGTTTCCTGAAAATTGATTTCATAACCATAGGCAGAAAAGCTAATCCAGATTGGGTCATGGTTAGTGTTATAACTCCCTATCTACTCTACCAGTGTTAATACTGTCAGGTCTTATTAACTATATAGCTTTTGTGACTACAACACAACTGCTTATCCTCAATAATTTGAAGTAACTCACAGAAAAGAAAAAAGGCCAGGTATCTCTGAGACTAAAACCTTTTGTCATTTCTCTCACCCAACATAGCAGCCTATCTGTTGCCACACTTCTTTGCTCCGTACACCATATGCAACAAGCACACACATTTATGTAACAGTTTAGATTCACATATATGGCAATTAGTGTATTATTAATAAAAAATGTATTTATACATCAATAAAGCCCTAGAATTTTTTTTTTTAAATTTGTCTCCTTGATGCATTAAGACTCAGTATGTTTTAGATCTCTGTGTGATCAAGTAGATACATGTGAAACCACAAATTATGTTGGTGCACTATGCTATTTATGTTTAACTTCATTCATCTTTTATTGTAGTCTACTACATTAAGAAGGACATTTCCTAAGAAGACTTAAAGAGTGTTTTTTAAAAAATGCTTCAAATTGTGGCTTGTAAAAAAAAAAAAAAAAAGAAGAAGAAAAATAAAAAGAAAAATAGGATGGGCCAGGGAGATAGCTCAGTGGCTTAAGTGCCTCCCTGGCAAGTACAAGGTCCCAAGTTCAATCCCCCGTACCAAAAAAAAAGAAAAATTGTGCCTTAGAAAAGCAATCTATTGATTTAGCTTACCTACAGTAAAGGTAAAATAGTTTCAGGAAAATCAATTAAGCTATACATACACACGCCCCTACATATGCGTGAGCTGCAACATGATATGATACTTTTTTTTTTTTTTTACTGTAATTTCTGCCCTAAAAATTTGAAGATCTTTATTCTGTAAAACACTAAAGAGGCTTTGATTTCTTTTCATGTGCACAAAGACCTACAGATATGTTGTTTGTTAGGGACAGGTGATAACTTCTTACCTTTTTAGAGCACTTGGCTGTGGTTTTCAGACAACACTTCTTATGGCAAGCATACTTACATACTGAAAAACAGGTTAGGAATGTAGCATTTTTAGATATTTGCAACTCAATGACAAGAATTTGTCATATTTGTATCTTCAAAACTTTTTTCTTTAGAGGTGACTGCTCTCCCTCCCCACCACACACCACTTTTTACTGTGTGAACCATTAAGAGGGATTTTTAACCCACTTTCCTGGGGAAAATACATCTAACATTTCTATGACTATCAATTCTTTCAGGAATGCCTGTCCTGTTCCTGAAGTTAACTCCCAAATTCCAACAGGGAAATTGCCTATCTGTGTGGTTTGATTCACAAATTGGTGTTAAATCTTTTCCTGGGTGCCTTATAGCCTGCTAAAATGCCAGAAATGCCTTAAGAATCACTCCCATGAGGAAGGAAGGCATTACTGTCAAAGATGTGCCTCACTGAAATAAAATCAGGTAGTACATTAAAATAGAGGAAAGGCCTCATCTTTTATCTCCTAAAGGTCTAGAACAGAGCTCTGTAAGAACCAGAATATTAAAAAGAGAAGTTATGATTGGGAAGATGAAACAAAAACTTCAGAGCAAAAACACTTTCTTGGAGTGGTAGCTAACAGGGTGTGTAGATAGCTGGTAAGTACGGAGAGAGAGACACTTGAGGATACAATGAGCAAAGCTGGCTTATGTCATTCTCCTTCACCAGCTCTGGCTCCTGCATACCAATATCTGGATATCTTGAGTTCTAAAGTATAAATTTGCTTTCAAAGCTATAATCAAGTAGGTGAGTTGATGTCACTGTACTGGTGAAATTACTGTGAAAAGTATTAATTATTAATTAAAATTACTAAATTATTGATTTAAGAAAATTAATTCCATGAAGTTATAAAAAGTCAAATTTCTTAAGCTTTCAGCATTGTATCACAGAAGAAATGACTCTAAACCTTCAAGAATTGTACTAACAAATGGTGAAGTACATTTGTTTTTCTTTTTTTTTTTAAATTGTATTTGGTACAGGGTCTCACTATACAGCTTGTACTCACATTGATCCTGTTTTCAGCCTCCTCAGAGCTGGGATTACAGTGGTACACCACCATACCCAGTCTTGGTGGCTGCTCAGTATGCCCAGGGGCGGGGCCAGTGCAGCATGTGGTACCAAGGATCAAACCCCGGTCCCAGCACTTGCCTAAGCAGGCACTTAGTTCACTGAGCTATTTTGCCAGCCCATAAAGTACATTTCAATCTACTCCTACTTTCACTCTTCATAATTTTTTAGATCCTTAATAAAATGAAAAGAAGTGCTTGTTTTGGTAGAAAACATATTAAACTGGAATGACACAGAGATCTGACAAAGGCTTTTGGGCAAGACTAATATACAATTTGATGAAGCAGTCCATTATTTTAAAAAAACAACTTAAAAAGGAGAAAACTGTTGTTGAACCACAAAACCAGGTAACAGACCTAAGAAATTGGCAATTTTGCTATAGTAAAATGACTTTTCTTATTGTTGGAATACTGATCCTGTAACAGAAAATGCCCCCTGCCCCAGCCAGTATACTTCAGTTTCTTACTTGCCCAGGTAATAGTTTCTGTTTCAGGTCTGGCTGCTCATCTCTCTCAGAAATAGATGGTCACTGTGACACAGAGCTGGTCACTATGATGCATATTGTAAGAATCGATCCCCAGTTAATAAGCCATTCTGCCTCTATACTTCCTTCTTGTTTATCTCACATAAGCCCTCAACCAGAGCCTGACCTTCTGAGGAACAATAGATTCCTAGTGAGTGCCTGTCTGACATAAAATAAATCTGCCTGCAAATCCTGGGTATTGTTTTGGTGTTTCTTTTTGCTATAGCAGTCCCAGTCCTGCCTAATATTTCCTTCATTCAATTCTGGTCTACTAGTAAAAGCAAAGCCTCACAGAATTACTGATTATTTTAAGAACAAATAATATATGGGAGGCATGTGTGAGCTGAAGCCACAATCAAGGTGACCTGTGAGAAATCTCTTCTCACATTTCAGGATTTACATATTTTGATGAATGAGCTATAGCTGAGAAAGTACCTTTTTGGCTAGTAACTAAGAATCCATCCATCCATCCATCCATCCATCCATTCATCCACCCACCCACCCATCAGTACATGCATCTACCCAACAAATATTTATAACAACCCATTATGTGCCAGAAATGTTCTATGCATGAGTAAAACAGAAGACACAGATAAGTCTCTATCCTAATCTCTAGAGATCAGGATAAGACTGAAAATCAAGAAAACAAATGAATATTTAGTATCATTTCATACTAACATACTGCAGTTTAACCAAAGTAACACTTCAATGAAAGGTAGTAATAAGTGTTACAAGGACTATCAAATCAGAGAAAGGGATTATTAGAGAATAGGGTTATGGTTTATGTAGGAGACTAAGCAAAGAGCTCTGAAGAGGAGGTAACATGGGTGAAGACATGAATTCGCTGAAAATGAAATCATTCTTAAATGTGGGGTAGAAACAGTTCAGACAGAGTGAGCTTGCAAAGACCATGTAACAGCAAGTGTCTTGTTTGGATACAGAAAATGAGTAAAGCAGAACATAACACTAACAGGATTTTTTAAAAGTAGGTAGTATCAACTATTCTCTCATGCTAAAGAAGACAGAAGAAAACTCAAGGATATAGGGATGTTAGGTACTTTTAAAAAATTCCTGAAAGATCTCTCATACTTACATTTGCAAACTGAGGCTCGGTCCATTATCCATATCAAAGAAGAACAATATTCACAGTATGTAGGGATGCTATATTGGGTGGCCTTAAAGACATGACCATTGTGTTCTTCCACCTGAGTGGAAAAAGTCAACTGTTTATTTTAAAGCCAATATGCTAAATGCTTCCCTAATGTGGTCAGCAAATGGTAAATCCTCCTATCCCTTCCAAACTCTTCACACTAGACACTTATTCCAGGTGGAGAGGTCTTCTGAGAAGTAACATGTATGACTCTTGCTTTCAAAAAGCTAACAAGATTGATAAGTATCAATTTATATAAAAAAAATGAAGCAGTGCACCAACACAGCTGCTCTCTTATGCGACTGAGTCTGCATGCTCAGTTCAAGGCAGCAGTTCTCACATCTGCTTCCTTTTGTTTTAGCCCTGGGACCTTTTCCTCTTTGAAAATTACTGATAACTCAAAAGAATTCTGCTCCCTGAGAACTCTAGTAACTAGAAATAAAGATTTTTAAAAAAGTGAAGGTATTTTTCATGAACTTGTGGAAGCTGTCATGAAAGACAATGTCATCTTTAAAGCAAAACCACAAGAGAAAACAGGACTATAGTTCTCCATTTTTGTAAATCTCTTGAATGTCTGGCTTGCTGAAAGACACCTGGACTCTGCTCCATTTCTACACTTGATCAACTTCAGTGTGTAACTGAGCTTGAACACTATTTTAATAGCCCTCTCAGACAATGATACTATGCCAGGACTTAACAAATGATTAATAAAAATATGAATATAAGGGAGAGGGAAGGGAAAAGAGAGGAAGGGAATGAAAAAGGAAGGGAGAGGGAAGAGGGGAGGGAGATAAAAAAACAGAATTCAAGAGGTATTGTAAGGGCTGGCAAGATAGCTCAACAGGCTTAAGTGCCCTTTGGCAAGCTCAGGGACCAGGGTTTGATTCCTGGTCCTACATGCCATGCCAGCCCTGCCCCCGGAGCCAGCTGAGCCAGCAACAGAATCCGGGCATGGTGGTGCATGCCTGTGATCCCAGCACTGTGGAGGCTAAAAACAGGAGGATCACTATGAGTCTGAGCTGCACAGTGAAGACCCTGTACCAAATACATAAATGAAAAAAAAAAAGAGGCATTATATACATGTACCAACTCCCCATGGTGAATGTAACCATGATGTGCTAAAAATAAAAATTAAAAAAATATGAATTAAAAACACGTATCAGTCTAATAAAAGAGGGAAAAAACCCAAATCAATGCAACAAGAAATGAGAATGTTAAAAATCACAATGGACACTGCCTAAATCAGCAAAATTAACTCCTTTAAGCCTATATGTCAATAAAATTGGAGACTAGAGAACAAATGCATAGATTTCTAGATATATACTAATAACCAAAATGAAACCAAGACTTAAAAACACTAAATAATCCAATAAAAATCAATGACATAAAAGGAATAATAAAACCCTACCCAATAAAATGAACCATGTCTGGATGGATCACTATTGAATTGTATAAAAATTTCAATGAAGATCCAACACCAATACTCCTTATACTCGTTAGTAAAACTGAAAGGGAAGGAGTATGCCTAGTGTCTTTCTTGGAAGCTACTATTATTCTGATTCCAAAACCAAACATGGATCCAATCAAAAAAGGAGAATTATAAACCAACCTCTTAATGAACATACATGCAAAATCCTCAAGAAGACAAATGCAAAGAATTTAACAAATCTTCAAAAAGATCATACATCATGACCAAAAACATGCTAAAGATGCAAGGATGGTTCAACATATACAAATCAATAAAAGTTATATATTACAGAAACAGAAACAAGAACCAAAATCATATGATTTCATCTCAAAAGATGTAGAAAAAACTTGACAAAATCCAACATCCTTGTACTATTAAAAAAAACATGGAAAACACAGGTATTAGAAGGACCTTATCTATATTTGATTAAAGGCATTTATGACAAACCTATGGTCAACATCATAGTCAATGGAGAAAAACTGAAAACTTTCCCTCTAAAATCAGGAACAAGGGGCCAGCCAGATAGTTTAGAGGATTAAAGTGTCTGCTTAGGCAGACGCAGGGGTCAGAGGTTCCATTCCTGGCTTGCCATGCTGGCCCCATTCCCAAGGCGCACTGAGATGGCGACTGAAACTGGGTATAGTGGCATGCGCCTATAATCCCAGTGCTTAGGAAGCGGAAAACAGGAGAATTACTACAAGTGATTCTGTGTAGTGAGACCCTGTAGACCCTGGAAACAACCCCCCACCCGTACTAAATAAAAATAAAATCAAGAATAAGACCAGTAAGTCCATTATCATGACTCATGTTCAACACAGCACCTCAAACATTAGCAACAGCAATTAAGAAAAAGAAATAAAAGACATATACAGGAAAGGAAGAAATCAAAGTATAATTTTCTGCAGATAAGATGATCCCTTACATAGAATACACACAAATCCCACCAAAAGAATAACCAAATTTAAAAATGTAGGATACAAAAATCAATAGTGTTGTATACTAATAATGAACCCCTAAGAAAGAAATTAGGAAAACAAATACATCATAGCATTAAGAATAATTAATTTAGGAATTAACCTAAGGAAATGAAAGATCTAACAAAAACTCTGAAAAAGGAATCAAACAAGACATTAGTGTTCCAGGGATATAGCTTAGCAGCACAGTGCCTGCCTGACAAGTATGAGGTCATGAGTTCAGCTACCAGTAGAAAAAAAAAAAAAAAAAAGGTAAAGGACAAAACAGAAAAAAGAATTCAGAAGACATCAGACAATGAAAAGATATTCCCTGTTCCTGGAAAGACAGAACCTATACAGTCAAAATGGCCATATTTCCAAAATCAATACACAGATTTGGTATAACTGCAATCAAAATCACAGCTGCTTTCCTTACAGAACTAGAGAAACTGATCCTAAAATTCATATGGAACCAGAAGAGACTCAGAATAGCAAAAGTAACTCTGGTTAAAAGGAGCAAAGCAGAAGGCATTATTGTCCTGGGCTTGAAGTTACATTACAAAGGTACAGTGATAAAAACCTCACGGTATTGGTAAAAAACAGGATCAATAGAACACAGGAGGATGCAGAAACAAACCCAAACACATTCAGCCATTTGATCTTTGACAAAGGGACCAAACACATACATTAGAGAAAAGATAGTCTCTTAAACAGTGTTTGAAAAACTGGCTATCCCCATGCAGAAGACTAAATCTAGACCAATATCTCTTACCATGTAGTAAACTAAATCAAAAGGGGTCAAAGAATTAAACATTAAAACAGAAATAACCTGCTCAAAAAATAAAACAGGTAAAACTATTGAGAACAAAAGGCACAAACAAGGACTTTCTTATAGAGCCATGTAACACAGGAAACAGTACCAAGAATCAACAAATGGGAAGATATCAAATTTAAACACTTCTGAACAGCAACAGAAAATGAGAAAAAAAAAATTTGCTAGTCATTCCTTAAACAGAGAACTAATATCTAGACTATATAAAGAATAAAAAAAATTAGCCCCAAGTTAAAAAAAAAACCAATAAAAAGTAGGTAACTGAAATGGACATACATTTCACACAAAAAGTACAAATGGCTAACAAATACATGAAGAAATGTTCAACATCAACATCACTGGCCATTAGAGAAATGCAAAACAAAGCAACACTGCAATTCTACCTTACTCCCAAATGGTCATCATCAAGAAATTAAATTAATAACAAATGCTAATGAGGCTTAAAGAGAAAAAAAGAATACCTGTACATTGTTACTAGAGATGTAAATCAGTACAATTACCATCGAAATCAGTATGGAGATTTCTCAAAAAACTAAATCTAGAGTTCCATTTGACCCAGCAGTTCCCCATCTAGGTATCATCCGCAAAAGAGTTAAAAGACACTATAGTACAATGACACATGCATACCATGTTTGTAGCAGTGCAATTCATAATAGCTAACTTTTGGAAGCAGCCTGCATCTCCATCAACATATGAGTGGATTAAATAAAATGCTTTTACACACAGTGGAGTACTGCTCTGCTATAAAGAAAGATCAGCTTGAGTCATCTGTAGGAAGGTGAATATACCTTGAGACCATAATGGTAAGACACTCAAGGTTAAATATTGCATGGTTTCTTTTATATGGGAAACCAAAATTATAAATAAAGAGCAAAATAAAATAGGAAGTAGGGAGATAGATCTTCCTCAAATGGAAAGGAGATCAAGAGGTGGAGAGGAAGGGGGAGGGAGAGAAGGAAAAGGAGATAATGAAAGGAATCAAGATTTGTATACATGTACCATCTCCACATGAGAAATGAAATCATTCTGCACTACATATATGTAGTAATAAAGAAAAAACCTTTCAATAAACTTAATGTTCTGTGACATTAGATATTGTTTTCACCATCGTTGAAACTTAAAATTTTAACCTTCAAACACAATAAGAAAAAAAGGCACAGTTGAATAGAAAATATTTGTAAGTCATATATTGTATTTGATAAAATACTTTCTCAATATATAATGAAATATAACAGAAGTCAACCCAATTAAAAATGGTCAAAATACTGAATAGAAATTTCATTAAAGGGAAGTATAAAAGGCTAACAGACACTGAAAATATGTATTTATAGTATTATCATTAGTTATGTACAAAAGGCAAACTCAAACTAAATCTTACCTACTAGATGATTTAGTATTTAGGAGTGTATTACATCATACTCTCTAGAATGGCTATAGCAAAGGAAAATAATAAGCACTGATGAAAATGTAGAAAGACAAGAGACAGGAAAAGGAATATTGCAGGACTGTCCTGCTTCAAGGTTGTATATGGTGAGATTTTTGGACTTATGTGTAAACATAAGAAGTATATAATTCTTTATGCCTATTTTTAAAATATATTCTAATTTTAAAATGTTTTTTATCATATTCTGTAGGGACTTAAAGTTCAACATATCAATACTCAATGAAAAATATCTGTTCCATATTATGCCTAAGATGTTTGATATTCAGACAGATAGTGAGGTTAAGCTTAACAGCTTAAGTTGTACGGTAATAACAATAAGCTTGTCTTCTGGATGGTTAACAACCTAAGTTTGCAGACTAAAATTAGAGAAAAAGGAGGGCTGCAAGGAAAGCCAACATTTTGGCCCTAGCCTTCTAAGGTCAATTAAGACTCAGAACATAGGAGAACCTGTACTATAACGTCATATAACTCAGTAGTGTCCCAAATTTTCTGATCAAGGAGATTATGGGGCCAAAGAGGAAAGTGATCAATAATGTAGAGTGTGCCTAAGGAGAGTCACATGGGGAGAAAACACTCTCTCATGCTTTCACAGAGAGCACATTGGCCAAGCAATGGCCGTGACTCATCCACATGGCTGACACTGACAAAAGTTCTACAATCTGAGGTACAGGATCTCGGGATAAATCCTGAGGGGATTTCACTGACCTTATCAGACCCAAAAGCTACAACTCTTGTTGCATAGGTCCTGCTTTACCTTGGTCTTAACCATCCAGCAGAAACGTATAAAAACGAAATATAAGAAGTAAAGCCATGCTGTTGTGTTGAGCTGTAGGGGACTCAGGTCAACAATTTCTGAGATTGCCAGTGAAGCAGAAGACCCAATACTATTATGGGCTACTGGACTCTTTTAGAATATTTTACTGAGTTTACACACCTATAATATTCAAATAACGGAACTTAACAAAAAAAGGGTACACAGATGAATGTCCATTTTGTATCTGTGTATTCAAAGTGGTTAGGATAGGTATATAGTTACATTCTCTTGATGAATAGAGCGATTTGTTCTAATGGTGTTTGTAAACAGAATATCATGTCTGTATCACATATAGCAATTAACCACTAGGAAGAATGTATGCAATGTGTGAATTATTATTGAAACTGTCCTACCAATTTGATTTGAAACTGTCTCATTGCTATTTGTTTACCAATAAAATTGTGGGGAAAAAAATAAAGTGGGTTTTGTATGTACCAAAAAAAAAAAAAAAAGAAAGAAAAAGAAAATGTAGAAAGAACAGAATTCTCTGAACTATACAGTAGTATAGTCACATGGAAAACAGTCTGACAGTTTCTGAAAATTTTAACCTTCAGAGTTATCAAATGATCCAGAGATTAAACTCTCAGGTTTATATCTAAGAGAACACAAAACATTTGAGCATAAAAAGACTTATACATGAGTGTTCACAGAAGCACTATTCTTAATATTCAAAAAGCAACCCAAACATATATGAATTGATATGGATGAAAAAAATATGATATATATACATAATAGAATTCTGTTCAGAAATAAAAAAATGAACTACTAATATATGCAGCAAGGATGGACCTCAAAAACATGCTAATAATCCATATGCAAAAACCCATATATTATATGCTTTAATTCATATGAAATGTTCCCAGAAAGCAACACTATAAAAATATCCCTAGTCAGAAAAGAAATTGTTCTTATACCTTTATAAGCAAACATTTTAAGTTGCCTGCTATTTTAGGAAGCCATCACTGAAAACAACACCTGTCACAAAATTGAGGACCCATCTGTCATCCTAAATAATTTTTAAAACATATGATTTAACATTTTCACACTGGGGCCTTAATTTGTACACCTTGCTGCTGGGCAGGTGGCTTGAACGGTTCAAGCTCACAGGAGCATGGTAAGTACCCAACAAACCTATTCCTTCAATCCAGTATATCCAGAGAAACACTATGCGATATTCAACACATTGATCTAAAAGTTTGTTTTTATAACACAAAAACCAGAAGACTTACCAAGTCAGTTTCTTTTTTCCTTCTTTTCTTTCTTTCAGCCTTTGGCACCTGGCAAGAGTAAAGAGAAATAAAGAAATTGAGGTAACAAAGACTAACATCTTTTCTTCTTTGCAAATGTTGTGCTATTGCTCAGCAGGTAGTAACTTCTTATTCTTTAAAAGAAAATGTATAGTGCTAATAAAAGCAACAAAATGGAAAGATACACAACGATGCTTTTGAAATCTCAGTTCTGTCCAGAAGACAACATCATTACTTATGCACGTGACTATTTTAACCATTGGTTATTAATTTTAAAAATTTTACTTTCTACCTTTTTCCTAGAAAACTACTACAGAGCTAAATTTTAAAAGGTATCTGAGATACAGGACAGCTCTTTTGTATATAAATTTCCTAATGATTACAATATACAAGATCTGAACCTGTTCTTTAAAATTTATAAACACAAGTAATGATACAATCAAGATATATAGGAATGTTTAAAATTTAAAAAAATTATTACAGTAAAATACACTGTCATAAAGCTCCCTCAAAATATTCTGCCTCGCTTTGAACTCACTTATTACACTGTTCTTTTCACTTTCTAAATTAGTTCTAAAATTCTCTTTTCTGAGTGACTTTATTTTTATTTTACTGAGACAAGATCTCATATATAGTACAGGTTGGCCTTGAACTCTTGATGATCCCTCCTGTCTTGGCCTCCCAAATACTGGGATTACAGGTCATGCCCAGCTTGTGACTTTAGGAGGTGTGATACAACACAGAGTGAATCCTGTGTGATCTCATGGAAAGGAAAGCTGGTAAAAGAAAATTTATGATGCATACTCATCTACTTTATTCACTGGATCTGGTACCCTGTGATGGCATGCTCTTCCCCAAAGTCAAAATGAGCATCAAAAAGTAAATGTTTTAGATTGATTCAGATATTAAGGGAGTTCTGACAATGCAATTAGAGACAGCCATGAAACAGGATTCCAGCATTGCTTTGGAAAATGGAAAAGCTATGGGACAATAAGCTCTGAAAAAGAGGAATTTTGGGCTGGGGAGATAGCTTGCGGGTCTAAGCACCTGCCTGGCAAGCACCAAGGACCCAGGTTTGATTCTCAGTACCATATGCTGTGCCGGCCCTGGAATCCCGAGCAAGCTATCCTGGCCACCAAAACCAGGCATGGTTGCACACACCTGCAATCCCAGTGCTGGGGAGGCTGACATGGGAGGACCACTACTAGTCTGAGCTGTGTAGAGAGACCCTGTATCAAATGAATGAATGAATGAATTAAATCTTTTTTTAAAATAGAATATTTTGAGGGGGATAATTAGTTGTCTTTTACTCTTATACAGGCTTAAGCATATTTGCCATATTTTTTGATAATACCTTGTCAGTACAAATCTTTTGTATGAAATAACAACCTTAAGCTTATAGACATACTTTCCTAAAAACTTATTCAAGAGAAAGTATAATTTATGAGACCTTAAGACTACTACAGGGCCAGAGAGATGGCTCAATAGAATAAGCGCTTCCCTGGCAAGTGCAAGGGCCTGAGTTCAATCTGCAGTTCCACCAAAAAAAAAAAAAAAAAAAAAGAAATGTTTTTAACCAATGTTTTTCAAAGGAAATTCAGGTACTTAAAAGCTGTCACCTTATATGCTTCACTCAGTGAAGAATGCACTCATTACAGAGGATTTAGAAAATATAGTCTCATAAGCTGGGCCTGGTTATGCACCTTGTAGTCCTAGGGAAGCTGAGACAGGTGGGTTGTACGTTCAAGTTTAGTTTGGGCAATAAGCGACACATCAAGACCCTCTCTCAGGGAAAAAATAAAATAAATAAAAAAGGACTGGAGCCATATTGCTCAGTGTGATGATCTGGAGTTGTTCAAAGGATCTACAGTAATGCTTAGATGGTATGTTTTCTGTAAATGTTTTTCTTGAATATCAGAGGTCCTAAACAGATTCTTAAAAAGAATGCATTGTCAAATCTTTTTAGGTATCCAAACATATCACATTTACCTTGGTGACCATGTTATCAGAAGTCTTGAATTCATTCATGTATTCATCTAAAAATACTTTAAAGGTGTTAACCCAAACTCTCACTGGAGATTCACTCCAGTCACGCTGCTCAAGCCTCATGGTCTTTTCCAGGATCTGCTCAAACAGTGCATAGAGGTCTTTATACCGTATGCTCTTCCCATCATCCATCTAAGACAATAAGAAATGTAAGGTTTATGAGGAATTCTTTAACACACTTTTGGGGGACCACACATGATGGCTGTACCATGCCACAGATAGGACAGTCATGCACATACCACCAGTGGTTTAAGCTGGTGGAAATACGTTAAATATGGAAGTCTAAATAAACTTGTAATGAGTAATACTGTATTTAGAATAAAGATTAAGCTCCTGATATACTTTCTGGTAACCATGGTTGTGGGGGTCACATGGTATCTCAAACTTCCACTCTAGTATAGAACCAGAACCAGAAAAAACCTAAGTTTTGGGATGCTTGCTGGGGATAGAGCTCAGCGCTATCAGTGCCTGCCTGGCAAGCACAAGGTCCTGAGTTTAATCCCTGATACCACAAAAACAAATAAACGAAAAATAAATAAAATCAAAGTTTTTGAAAAGGCCTAGAAGTTTAGATAATGTAGTAACTGGGCAAGTCCTAAGAAATGCTCCCTTAAGTTTGGTTTTCTAATTTTATATAAGTATAAAATTATAAAACTATTTTAGACAGTTTTACTTTAAAATATAAAGACTATATACTTGGGTCTCTGCCCAGTGATACATCAGGTAACCTTTAACTTACTTTCTGAATAAGACTGACGAGCTTAGAAAGGCCCTGTTATTGCATAGGAATCAAGTGGAATTCCCTGTAATTCACTTAAAT